ATCTGCTTCTCATCTTTTGGCCATTCCACTGAGGCATCTCCTAGGCCTAGTCATGTACACAGGAAGGGGAGAGATAAGAGGGAGGAAGTCAGAAGAACAAAGTCTAGGATGTATAGAGGCAGAACATTCTCACTTCTTGGGATACCAGGATACCAGCTATGACTCCCTTCTTCCTCCTGGGAGAAGTCTATGTTACTCCTTTTTTGAATAAACCCTGATTTATATGTCTGCCTTGGCGTGGTTCTCTAACATTCAAACTTCAACATGAAAAAAAGCAGGGCTCCTCACCAATAACCTGTGGTATCACCAAGAGGTCTCCCTGCACAATTTTTGCTCAGAGGCTCAAATAAGCTAACCAGAGGTTCCATGATCAGGCCTTTTCATGACAGTTTTTAGTACCTGACATGGAATCAGGTCCAATTTGTAACAATGATGACCCTTTGGAAGGTGGAGTGTTTTTGTTGTGAGATGAGGGAGAAGATTTGGCATGGCAGTGTAAAAAGTCTTAGAAATTCTCCTCTGGTGCAATTGGCTAATTGGTTTGCTTTCCTAACATGTAGTGTCCAAGGAAAGGGGAACTTAAGGACTATGAAGGTACTGGGTTCCTACAGATAAAAGGAATATACGTTAGAAAAGCACACTCCCCAGAGCCTCTTCTTCATTCAATATCTGTAACAAGGACAGGTCCTATTCCCTCTCCCCTCCTTCTAGAACCTTCATCCTGTCCCACTTACTCCCCAAATCCATTCAGTTGGGTGAGCTAGCAGAGAGCATAAGACACCTGCAAAGAAATGGCTTTGTGATTCCAGTCCCAGGGGAGGGAGCGCCCAAGACAGTTTTGAGTTTTGTTTTGATGGAGAGGGGGTGGGATAAGAATGTTTACAGCCCTCAGGAACTTTGCTTAGTTCAAACTGCACCCAAGAGGAATTTTAGGATGCATTCCAAAATGGTGATACATAAAACTTTCCACCCAACTATAATCATTCAGGAAAATTTCCATCCCATTTTGTGTTATAAATGAACTACAGAGGTTCTTTCCTAAAAGCAAACAAGGGTGACACCTTTATCACTTTATATTGATAATCCAGACCTGTTCAACCAACAGGGCAAATTAAGATCAATTAATACCTCCCCTACCTATTTCTGAATATTTTGTGTCATGAATAACACTTGCATGGCAAGTGTTGATCAAAGCAAAGGGTTAAATCAGACAGAACCTGGGAAGCCTTTTTGTGGACAGAAAACATTTTTGTCAGATAAAAGAAATAATGAAATTTTTTTCTGAAAAAAATGGAAATGATACGTGCAATATGAAGAAGGTGTTATAAAATAACTATTCTTAGCGTCAGCATACTGTGGGATTAAAGACCACTCATTACAGTTCTATAAAATAGCACACATTATTATTAAGAGTATAATAACAAACTTTGTAATAAAGTTCATATTCCAATTATGGCATATGGTTTTCATAGAGAAAACCAATTAAAGTCAGCTGTGTTTTAAGCAGATTTTGGAAGGCAGGCTCATAATGGGTAATGACAGTAGTAAGCCTTCACTCTGCCACTGATTACCATCTCCCCACCACACACCATGTGAGGAGCCTTTCTTATAGGAGACCTAAACACAAACGCATGTTTGCTGATAGGTCCACATCAACTTCCACTACAAAGATGGTGTTGGGAGGCAGAAGAGTGATATTGCCTTATATCTTAACCAGATCCTGCCAAGTGTTTGCTCAGTGTTTAAAAGCCCTGGGTGGTGTTGGGGCTTTATCCTGTAATGGAAAACAGCATGGTATGGTGAATAAACACTTCCTCTGAAATCTAAATCTCGGAGATCCCTATTCCTGGTGCTGTTCTTCCACTGACTAGAGTTATGACTCTGGGAAAATCAGTTAATGCCTTTGTGACTTGTTTTTGCTCATCTGTAAGATGAGGGACTGCTCTTTGGCCACTTGGGATTCTCCATTAAAAATCAATGTTATAGGAGGCTTCCAACATCTTCCTGTGAGAAATAGATGCTAAATACCCCCACAGGTTGACACTCCTCCCTTTAAAAGTGGAGTCTCCTTTACCTCTCTGTATTTTATGTCTGTTTCATGGATGGATGCAGCAGAAGAGACCTTGGGTGACTTTCATAGATAGATCATAGACAGCACTCCTCCCTCCTCTGACCCTGGGCAGATACCTTTAGATTCTGAGCCACCATGTAAGATATCCAGCTACTTTAGAACTGCTGTTCTAGAGTAAAAAACTATTCTAGATGGGGCAGGGTGGGGGTGGAGGAGATGGAGAAAGCACAGCCCAAGGAATGTCAGCTGTTTGAATTTCCCAGCCCAGGTGACTGACATAAGTGAAGAAGCCTCTGAGACTGTGCCACCCTAGCCACTGTGTGCTGTAATCTCCTAGACACCTTTAACTGAAACTACTCAGCTAAGTCATCTCAAAGTCCTGGCCCCAGCAGTGAGAGATAACACTTGATTATTGCTATTTTAAGTCACTAACTATTGGGGTGACTTGATGAAGCCACAGTAACTAAAGAGGAATTATGATGGAATAAGAACTAGAAGAACAGAGAATAATAAAATCATGGCATTTGAAGGTAAATGGATGGAGTTGGAGAATATAATGCTAAGTGAAGTTAGCCAATCCCAAAAAAACAATTGCCAAATGTTTTCTCTGATTTAAGGAGGCTGATTTATAATGTGGTTGGGGAGTGGAGTGAGGGGGGAATATGGGAGGATTAGAATGCTAGTTTTACTCCAGAAATATGTATTATACTTATTTGATACATCCTATGCATTCTCACCTGGTCTTAGATGAACTCTAGATAGGGCAAAGGGGAGGGAGAGGTAGGGAGAGGCCATGGGGGTACGAAAGACTATGGGATGAGATGGACATCATTACCCTAAGTACATATATGAAGACATGAATGGTGTGACTCTGCTTTGTGTACAACCAGAGATATGAAAAATTGTGCTCTGTGTGTGTAATATGAATTGTAATGCATTCTGCTGTCATGTATAACAAAATTTTAAATAAAAAAAATAAGAGAAAATAACTAGGAGAACAAAAAAAATTTTTTTAAATAAACGTTTAAAAGTGCCATCTACCCTAAGGTCAAAGAAATCTTTAGCATTCACAAGAACCTCAGAAAAGACAATTTAGAACTCTTTTTGACCCAGTTATCCTATTCCTCAGTTTATACCCAAAGGACTTAAAATCAGCATATTACAGTGACACAGCCACATTAATGTTTACAGCAACTCAATTCACAATAGCTAAACCATAGAACCAACTTAGGTGCCCTTCAACAGATGAAGAAAAATGCGGTATATATACACAATAGAATATTACTCAGTCTTAAAGAATTAAATTATGGCATTTGCTGGTAAATGAATGGGGCTGGAGGATATCATGCTAACGAAATAAGCCAATACCAAAGAACCAAAGGCAGAATGTTTTCTCTGATATTCAGATACACAATAAGGGAGGGAGGGTTAGAGAAGAATAGAGGCACTTTGGATTAGACAAAGGGGAATGAAGGGAGGAGAAAGGATTGGTGGTAGGAAGGACAGTAGAATGAATGGGATATTATTATCCTATGTGCATATATGATTACATGACTGGTATAATTCCACACCATGTACAACCAGAAGAATGAAAAGCTATACTCCATTTATGTACGATGTGTCAAAATGCATTCTACTGTCACATAAAACTAATTAGAGAAAATTAAAAAGAATGATGAAGGTTAAAAACAACACGGAAGCATCACCTTTTCTGTTTCCAAACTCGGAGAATTTTATGAGAATTTTTCCATGTTCATAGTTAAAAGAAATGTAGTAACACTGATCCTAAGTGGAACCAACCAAGAAGGTAAAGCACAGAGCCGGGGCATCCTCCAGTCATTCCATGCAGGTGCTAATGCCATGGCCTGTGGTCTTTCTACCTCAGCCTTTCTCAATAGACTGTGCAGCTGATGAAGTCCACGTGTTCCCCAAACACAGCTCTGAATGCGGTGGAAAAGTAGGGGTTCTTTTGAAAGGGGGCAAGGGAACACTTTGGAGGGCAATCAGGAAAGGTGAGTTGGGGACACCTGTGAAATCTGGTGAAGCCAAACAAAGAGTGGTGCTCAGGAGATGGCAATTGGTGGCCTGTAGTTGGGATGCAGCCACAAACCCACTCGTTCCTATTTTTATTATATTTTTTCCTGGTTCATCCAGTGTTTTCAAAATAGAAAATCTCATATACAAATATTAGATTTCTAGCTTCTCTTGAAGCTGTGGAGACCTGGTGACCCTGGGTATGCATTCTCACCTGGTCTTAAGCAGCTGGACCTGACTGGCTGTTTCTCCCTTTAGACAGAACACATGCTCTATTTGCTGTAGTCCTCCTTACTCCCTATCATTTTATACATGAGATCACTTTATCCCTCTACTTCACATTTCCAATCCCTGTGAACATTTGAGTTTGGGTCTTATGACCTAAACCAACAGAGGAGCTTCAGATTCCAAATATCTGAATCTTGGTCACTACAGGTATATGGCTTAGAAATTCCAGTAAATTCTGCTATTGTGCCCTTAACAATTTCCTTCCCTAAACTACAAATATGAGACTGAGCATGACAAACCTACATGTCTAAGGTTATATAAGTCATCTTACAATACTGTCATCAAATACTGGAGTGCTAGTTCTACTCCAGAAATATGTACTAAACTTATTTGATATATCCTAATTAATTAAAATACAACTATGCCCATACACATTCCTTACCCCTAATTAATATAGAAGAGTCAATTGTCGGTCAGCAGTGAGATTAAAAAGGACAGAAAAGGAACAAAGAGAGCCACAGATAGTAAAGTGTAACTTTTAAAAAATTTATCAGAGAATATCCTCAAGGTGATTTCTAATAGTGACTTATTGAGTCAATGAAAGCATTTACTGAAAGTTTGAAATCAGAATTGTGTTAGAAAAGCAAAACAAGACAAAACAACTCACCAATTCCAGACATTGTCTGTGGCCATAGGCAGCAGCATAATGTATACTATTGTAGCCTTCCTTGTCCCGGATAGATGGATTTGCATCATTTTGAAGCAGAAACTCTAGACATCTGTAAGTATAAATATTAGGGATTATTTTAGAAAACATCTCTGGACCAAACAAGATAATTACTGAGAATCCCCCCTGTTTTTCATGTTCCACAAAGCACTTTATAAATTTAAGTGTTTCTTTAAGAACTGTGTTGCAATAAACCTTTCTGCACTGGAAGGTAGTGTGAGTGAGTGAGTGAGTGTATGTGTGTGTGTGTGTGGGGGGGGGGTGTGCACATACACACACATTTTCCATAGCTATCTTTATTTCCACTTAAAATAGCCATTCTAGAATTCAGGAAAAGCTTTAGAAGCAAAAGGGTAATTTGTTTTTTTTATTCTTCTCATCTTCAGGTATAGAATGTCTGTTGTCAAGATCTCTAAATAATAAGACTTAGATCTCTGTGTTCAAAAGATGAAGTCTCAAATACAAAGAAGTGGTCAGGCCTTTGCAACCCAGCAAACCCAACAGAGAGGGGATTATTTGTAACATTGCTATTGGAAACTAAGATCAAAAGACGAGAAAACAAAAGTTTAAAATAGAGTAAGAAAAACAACCCAAGGATAGTCTGAATAATAAAAAGATTAAAGGAGTGGATAAGCTTTTAAAATATATAAATGACTAATTCAGTAACTACATATGAAGAAAGAAGCTTAAATTATACCACTAGGAATATAGACTGGAACAAAATAATATTGAAAGGCTTTTTTGATACAGTTGTAATTTTCCTGAAAAAGTCACAATCTTTGAAATAGGCTAGAGGAAGGAGCTTGGTTGTACTTTTATTGAAGAGCCTGCAACACCAGACAAAAATACTCAGGGACATAGGGCATTCTGTTCAGGGCTAATTGCAAATGGTCTGATCTTGATGGCACAGAGGGAATAAGTAGCCAGAGAGTGACACTCCATAATTTCAGTACTATATCTACAACAATGGGACAAACATTCTTATGAGGCCACAATTTTACACTCACATCAAGCTTTTAAAATTTTAAACATAAGCTTATACCTTAAAAAAGACTTTTCAATGGAAAATTTCTTTAGTTGACTCAAAATTTTACATGACGTTTACCTATCTCTTGGTATAAGGCAAAAGGAATAAACGAATCATATACAGAAGTTTTAATTAAACAGGTTCTTACAATTTTTTAGAAAAATTGATAGAAAATACTTTTTTAAAACAAAATACTATCTGTCACATTTTTCCATGAAATGTTCCATGCTAAATCAAACTTTTATTAGAGTCCTACTATCATGCTGTCTTGGGTCATTTATACCTTATAAGGAAGTTCTTTTGATTTTGGTAATTAATGCCCATGGATAGGATCCCAGGTGTGACTCATTGTAAACCAAATTTGGATCTTTAAATAAAATTATTCAATAGCAATAACATCCTAGTGAATACACAAATCCCAACTTTTCAATAGACTATATTCTAAAAGTCAGTGATTGGTTGTATTTGTAATTTGGAAAACACTTGAAATTGCTACCAAAGAGTTATTTAATCTGGGAGTTAGCTGAACTACACTACAATAACAATAGTGCTATAGAATTCTCCATATAGTTTCCAAGGGAAAAAAAATGAATTCTATGTTTTCACTGGAGACGCTTATCTTTGTTCCTCCCAGGCCCCTGACTAGCAATTTTGATACTTAAGATGTACAAGTGACAGCAACACTGTAGATTGGGGCTATATCTGGCCAAGGGGAATAGCCTCCCTTTGCACACAGAAGCTCTCAGGTCTGCTGGTTCACTATCCTTTGACTACCTCTCTAGCTTCCCTCCCCTTCCACTGCTGTTAAGAGGGCTGGACTGGCCCAGGGCACACTTTCAGTTTGCTGGAGAAGGGTGCATTTGCTGAGGTGACTTACAATTTTATAACTTTTAATGTTATTATTTACATTTTTTGAGTATCAGAGCAAAACCTGGTCATTCTGCTGTACTCATAGCTGTGCTCCTATCCCCAGAAATGGTCAAAAGCTATGTTCTGTAACCGGCACCAGAGCCACACTCAATAACTATACCCTTCCATGACGCTCTGAATATGGGGTGGGGGTCGGGGGTGAAAGGGCGGAACCCATTGGGAGATGGGAAGATCACAGGGTAGACACAAGCATTCAAGTCACAAAGAAACTGCTTTCTTTGGCAATTGGAGCAGAGAATAAATGAGTTAGGGACCATGAGCCTGCAGACTCAGAGAAAACTGGATCCATTGGGTCCCCTGGGGGTGTGGCACCAAGTGTGGGCACCTGCTCATTTGTTGGTTCATTTATTAAACAGTTTCTGTACACCAACTATGTGCCAGGCAATTCTTGTGACTAGAATCTCAGAGGATGAAGCACTGGAGTTCCTATGTATCAACGCTCTGCGGAGATGGCAGGTGATCCAACTGCTGTCACAGCAACAGCTAAGTCTCTGTCAGAAGCCAGAGTGGGGTAGGTAGGATGAGGTGGGTCAGGGGAAGCTGTTTACATGGAGCAAGAAGCTGTTTTTAAGTCAATGTGCCGGAAAGATGGAAGGAGTGAGGGGAAGACTGGTACACTCCACACCACCAGAAGACCTTTAGAGAACCCACTGCAGGTTATCCCCAGGTCATAAACGCAGAACCTAAGGCCTACGGCTGTGAAGGGGGCCTTACTATGTCCCTGAGGCATATGAGACATGGCAGAGTCAGAAATGATATTTAGATCTAAAGCTGCTGACCAATCATAGTGACAGACAGGGCAAAGGTTACACTTTTAGGAAGTTCCCTGTGTGAAAATAGCACCAGTGAAGGATGTATAATAAGAACAGTTTCTTCTTCATAAAAGGCACGCCTGCATTCCTTCCTCAAGATTCTAAATAGAACCCCAACATAGAAAGGGGAACCCCAACATAGAAAGGCAAGCAGTGTGGCAACCCAGAGAAGCAGGCAAAGCAAGAGAGGCGGCATCTTGTTCTTCAGCTAAGAAGTAACTTACAGTGCAGCTTCCTTCTCCTTCAGCTCCCTGGCTCTTTCAAGTTCTTCTGAATTTTCATGGGCATTTCCCAAGACGGTCTTACTTCTCAGGATAAGGGATAGAAAAAAAATTGCAATTAATTATAGTACAATTATATCTCAGTGATTTTGACCCCAACCCCCCAAGATAAGCACCACCAATTTTCACTGATGATGTAGACAGCTTTCTCCAAGGCCATTCAGCTAATCTGTTTTTTTCCCCAAGAAATGCACTTGAGCACATGCCTTTCCAAGAACTTCTACCCAGGAGTCAGAGATTAGGACAACTGAGTTGCCTACCTTTCAGTAAACACCTTAAAACTCCCCAAGAAAAAAGGAAGCAATTTAGCTCAAACCTGTCTAACACCTACCACACTCCTTGCTACCTCCTAGCCAGATCAGCATCTCACTTATCCAGGAGTGYAGTCCCAATTGCCCTTCATCTGTCAGAATGATTCTTTATTATCCAGGATKCCTTTTCTAGCCCTTAACAGATGGAAAACACCAATGTCCCATCTCTTCCAGTATTCCTATTTGTTCTAAGCAAATAGCATGGAGCCTTATATACAGCAGTTACTCAATAAATGTTTGTTGAATTAATAACCTGCATAGCTATGGGATCCCGAGGGACATATCTGACCTTATCATCATTATATAATAAATATAATCATCATATAAATCATTATATAATAAATAACATTTATATAATACTTATATTAAATAAATATAAAAATGAAGAGCATTCTTATGCTTGTGTGTTTTTCAAACTAATGATCGTAACCCATTATTAAATACTGAAATAAATTTAGTGGGTTGCTCTCAGCAATTCTTAATTATGAAATGGAATAGAAAATATCAGAATGCATCACAAATAATAAATGTAAATATGGTTCTATAAATTTTTATTTCTGTTTTATATGCACATACATATGTGAATGCTTGCATTAGTTCACGATGTAAGATGTATTTCTTACTGTGAGTCACCATTCAAAAYGTTTAAATGGGCTGGGAGAGTAGCTCAGTGGTAAAGTACATGCTTAGCATGTGTGAGGTCCCAGGTTCAAACTCCAGCMCCAAAAAAGTAAATTAAATAAAATGCTCTACAAACGCAGTGGTTAGTACCAGAGTTAATTGTGCAGAATAGGATTGCAAATAATCTAATAGTTCTCCACACACGGTCATCAAAAAGCATTCCTATAAAGGAGGCCCGACCTTAAGTCTTTTTTTTTTTTAATATTTATCTTTTTAGTTTTAGGTGGACACAATAACTTTATTTTATTTTTATATGGTGTTGAGGATGGAACCCAGTGCCTCGCGCATGCCAGGCGGGCACGCTACCACTTGAGCCACATCCCCAGCCCCCGACCTTAAGTCTTTGAGGACAATTTCATAAACTGTGGGGACCTCCCCTTCTTTCCCCCTTGAATTGAGTCACTGATGTCTGACTTCTATTCCTAGCCACCTAGAATCCAAACACATCCAGGACAACCAATTTCACCTCTACTAGCTGCTAAAAAGGAGTTCATGCCCAGACTTGGAACAAAAGTGCTTATCTTAATTATACCGAGGCTGCATTTGAAGGCTATGAGAATGATACATAGGTGAATTTTTTTTTCATATGACACATATATTAGCAAATGTAAATTTGTGGAAAATGGAAAATGAAGCATTTAAGTGGTCACAAGGAAAACGACAATATATGTCAAATAAATTATAAGACTTTGAATGGATTGAAAACCTGGGCTTGACAGCTCTACTTGGCATTCTACCCAAAGAACAGAGAAGAGARGAAATTGTTCAGTGACATGTAATAATCAAACATAAAGACAGAGAGTGGGAAAACCTGGGTTAGTGATGAAGCTATTCTAACTCCTTTGAGTCTGAATGAAAGTCTTTATTTGCAGTTTCCAGGAGGCAATATGAAGAWGACTTAGCAGAGCCTCTCCGTCCCTAGTCCCACCCCCAGAGGAAGCATGAGCAAGGCTGTTTTTACTTTCTATCCATGTCTGATGCAGCAGCATAGTGCAGAGYGGTCCGGCCCCAGTCATCTGTTTCATTAACATTGGCTCCTGTGRTCACTAATGTCTCAATACAGTGGAAATGACAATTTGCAGCTGCATAATGCAAAGGGGTCCTGTAAAACAAACAGGGATTTATTACTTCATTCAGCCTGGAAAACASACCCATCATCAACACAAGCACTGGTGGCAATATTCCTATGGGTGTGGAAAGCTCTTTGGCTCTCAGTGTAGAGGCTAAAGGATATGCCTTCCTATGACTGTATAAATTGAMATAGAGGCTACAAAGACTGSAGCCTTAAGACAAGGTCAGTCRTGTTGGGTCCATTCTTTCTTTATATTCCTATAGCCTCCCCTGGTTCAGGTCTACCCTATTTCTTTTTTGGGGACCATTGCAAGATCATCTCATTAAGACCCATTAAGACCATTCCCATTAAGACCATTCTGAGCTTTAATTAAGCCCACACCTAATTTCTAGTTGGTATGAACAAAGAACTGGATTTTCTAATGTACARTTCCTACATACAACAATTCTGTTTTWAAACCCTCAAGCCTCCCCACCGACAAGAGCTTGCTTCCTCAACCTGGMATTGAGACCTTTTCAAGTTGGTCTCAATTTYTCTTATAGAGTATCTCCCTCCCCTAGATATACCCATTGGTATATCCAAACTGAATGATCTCAGGTTTTCCAGRTCATGTCTATACTTCCCTCCACCTCTGTCCATCTTGGTTTCTTCRTGGGAGGGCCCCTTCCTGAACCTTGTCTACCCATCAAAATCCCACTTATCCTGCATGTTCCAGATGTTAGTGGTCTTTCTTTAGTTTGTGATTGCTTAGCTATTGTCAGAGTCTCTTGAGCTCTTATCACATATTGTCTTGATTGGGTGGGGGGCGGGRGGTGTACCAAGGATTGAACTCAGGGGCACTTGGCCACTGAGCCACATYCCCACCCCTATTTTTTATTTTATTTAGAGATAGGGTCTCACTGAGTTGCTTAGTGCTTTGCTCTTGCTGAGGCTGGCTCTGAACTCGACATCCTCCTGCCTCAGCCTACCAGACCTTTGGGATTACAGGTGTGTGCCACCGTGCCCAACTCTTGCCTTTTTTTTTTAGCTACTGGTATTTTGTCTCATCTTCTCTAAACATCAGCTCCTGGTGAGTAGRGATGTAGGTTCATAGGAAGAACCATGTGTTCTACTCTGAGCAGATTTGCAACAGGACCAAATCTGCTGTCTGGGTCTGGGCTTCCTCATCCTTACTTCAGTAAGGACCTTTGAGCAGCTGTCCCCTAAGGTCTTTTCTAGGTCTAAAATTCTGTGTACATAYACAACTCATTTAGTATCTCTGGGTACAGCTTTCTCATCTGATAAAAAAGAAGACAGTAAGCCTTTCCATACACCTCATGAAGTTATCATGAGAAAGCAAATGAATACCAATCAGGAAATATAAGCACCTTGACCAGGCAAGACTGAAGAAATATGTTTTAAATTACTTATTTTTAGTTCTCAATTATGTGACAGTTTTTCTGATATGACTAACTGATATCCAGGGAATAAGAATCAAACAGAATACAAGAAATAACTTTAGTTCAAGAATTATTAATCAATTTTAAAGAAAAAYTATTTTACATTTTATGGTAAACTTGTGGCCTCTTTTTTAAAATTTTTTTTTTTAGTTGTAGATGGACTTAATATCTTTATTTTTATGTGGTGCTGAGGATCGAACCCAGTGCCTCACACGTGCTAGGCAAGCTCTCTACCACTGAGCCACAACCCTGGCCCAACTAAGGGCTCTTTTTTCACTTGATTTTTTTCCTCTTTGGTCCAAAAGAAGGAAATTATAAGTTATATATATTAAGTTGTTTTTGTTTTAAGTAGCCATACTGAAAATTATTAGGCATCAACCATATGACAAGGCCCAAAGATAAAGAGAAAATGACATCCAGTCCTTGTCCTCAGGACTCACAGTCAGGTGGAGAGAAAGACAAGGGAACTGAGTCTACCACTACAATGTGATGTGAGCTGCAGCTGTGGAGTCTGTGGAGTGTTAGGGGAGCAGACAGGAGAGCCACTCCCATTGGAGTTGCAAGAAGATGTCACTTGACATGAATCTGGAAGGATGAGTAGGAGCTGTCTTAGGTAGGTTGGTCATAGAAGAAATTTGAGGAAACCCCCAAAAGCTAGGATGCCAGTGGAAAAGAGGGGTAGAGAGATGTTAGGGGAAAATATATATATATACTGTCAAGTGTTGCTGAATGACCAGGCATGTTCTGAAAAATATCATTGAGTGATTTTTGTCATTGTGTGAACACAAACCTTGATGGTCTGACCTACTACACATCCAGGCTATATGGAACCACCATCATGTATGTGGTCTGCTATTGACTGAAATGTCATTATGTGATGCATGACTTGTGTATGTGTGCATGGGTGTGCACACACATGCATGTGATGTGTGTGTGTATAAAAAAAAAGGATTCATGTACCAGGTAGCATCATAACACAGTTTAGCTATATAAAGGACCACAGAGGTAGGAAAACTTCTGTGACCCACTGGTGGGGTATAYATGTCTGATTTTGTAAATATGTCTAAAAATTTATCCCAAGATGAAATGTCCAATACATACTTGAAAATGCTCTAGACCTTATGACCGGATTCTGAGTTCAGAAGGCTAAAGTGTTTTACTCTGCTACAAACAGAATTTTCTAAATTATATCCATGTAGGAGATTTTTTTCTTTTTAATAAAAGAAGAAAACTGGCCCTTCTAAGCCGAAGCTGAGAGAGGAGTTGCTTTCCTT